CCCTTGCCAGACACCAGAATTCTCACACTGGCTGAGAATCCTGCCCAAAGGGAAAGCAAAAATCAAAACAAAACAAAACAAAACAAAAAAAAAAACACAAACAGAACCAAACCAAACTTTCCTCCCAGAACCAGGTCCTTAATAAATCAAAGAGAGAGCCTACACCAACCCATAATGTTAATAGAAACCCACCTTGCTTTACCCATCCATGCCGGACTTCTTCTCATCGCATCACTCAGACTGAAAACAGCAAAGAGATTGGGTGCAGAGACTCTTTTCAGTCTCCCTAGCTCTTCCCCGTCGGACATGAGTGGACACCCGGGAAAGCTAGCACCGCCATCTCACTTTTCATCTGAGTAACTAGATTGAGGGAAAACCCAGTGACTATTCAAGACCACAGAGGTTGCCCCAATCGACTGTCAATGACACCCCTCTCATACCCTATACATAGCGATTCCTGCCGTGTATATAAATGAGCAAATCACAGCGAACCCTGATACATATATTTGGATTTAGTGTGCTATAGAATTTACAGTTTACTCGATAGAGCTACCTAACCTGGTGCTCTGCAATTTTTTGTTTGTTTGTTTGTTTGTTTGTTTTTCCCTGAGGAGGAAGAGAGCAACAATTTAGCATATATATTCGTAAGTGTTGTCCATCTTGCGGAAGCTTTACTGTGCATCGTTTGAACCCCCGTTAGTATCTTCCTTCCCCAGTAATGGACCGTTTAACCCCCTACCTCTTAGATAGTCCTGTGAAGGTGTGAGTGTGACAGATCACGTCTCTAAATCCTGGCTGTGTGAAAAACAGACATTTTAGTTTTCACACACACAGCCACCTGGTGTGCACTCAACCAACCCCCCCCCCCACCTAGAGACTTGATTGTGTAACCCTTTACAGTATGTGGGTTTGTGTCTGTGGCCCAACCCATCACCACATTTTATAGACCTTACAGTGGTTTTCATGCAAAAAAAAAAAAAAACAAAAAAAAACAACAAAAAAAAACCAACCCCCTCCCCATGTTACATGTGAGGTGTTCTTTAGGGTTTGGGTTCTTGTTTTCTTAACCAGTTCATCGTGTGTTTGATAGTGAATTCATGATCCTGAAGCTTTGCCCTATCAATCTTAATGTCTTTGCATTTAAAGAGTGGGTAACAACCATCGCTAGATCACAGCAGTGCCTAATGAAGGTTGGGGACCCCAGGAGAGGGAGGCTCTTACAGTGTAAATAAGGAAGCAGAACCGGCAACCTTTCATTAACTCTGCTGTGTGCTTCCTGCCTTAAAGTGACAAGTGGCAG